TTGAATACATAAAATACAGAGAAACTATCCCTATTTATAGATGAGTTAACCTTGTCCACCAAGTTAAATCATCAGCCTTGCTCTCCAAGCATAACATCTCCTACTCCTACAAGCTATGATAATCTCAAATCCATCTGAGATATATCTCCTAAAATTATGACTGACTCTACCCTAATTATTAACAAATAAAGACTTCAACATAATTACAAAATAAACCCCCTAACTATTACTGAATGTCAAGATTGGTCCAACAGCGTGGACAGTTTAAAGTCATTTTGCTTTATTCCATCATAACCCAAAGCCAAAAATAGTGAATCTTTGGCTCCATCATTATGATGGAAAACCATAATTTACATTTCTCATTTACGTGAAATCACAACAGCATAAAAAATCTTTCTTTAGTGGGCACTTCTTCTTTAGCCAAGTCCAACACTCCAGAAGTTCATCGGCCTTAAAGACCCAGTAACCATAATGCTTTCTTCAAACGACCCAGCTCACTTAATGTTGTTGTAGTGGGAGTTGCAACAATGTTGAACAGTTCCCACAAAGTTCAAGAAATCTTTCTAGCAACGAGTAAATTTCACCTATGGTACCCGAACTTTGAGTGATACATCATATTGGTACTTAAACTTTATCTCCTTGCAAAAATACCTGAGTTTTGAAGAAATTTCATAAAAGTACCAAATCCGGTTTCCAAATTACAGTCAGGTTACTATGGGCCTAATTACAATTTTATATATTTCTAACTTTTCAATTTAACCCCACCTTTTTTTTATTTTTCTTGTATTCTATCCACTTTCATCTCCAAAACGGGTGGAAGTGGGGCCGCCGAAGATGAAAGGAGAGGGAATTTGAGGAAAAAGAAAAAATGACGGGTTTAAAACTAAAAATTAGAAATATGTAAAATTACAATTACGCCCAAAGTGACCTAATACTTTTTTGAAATTTCTTTGAAGTTCAAGTATTTTTGCGAGAGGAAATAGAGTTTAGGTACCAAAATCATATATCCCTCGAAGTTCGAGTACCATCGGTGAAATTTACCCTTCTAGCAGCTCATTACGAAGTACGAAAGATATTGAAATCAATGCAACTCAAGCAACAATAGACCTAGATTAAGAGTTGTTCTTCTATGGTCCTAAGATCGACATGTAAAATGTGGATCTTCTCACACTTTTCATGGGCTAACAACTGGATCTATTCTTTTTTTGCAAAAGGTTCAATTCCTTTATGATATCAATGCAATTAGGTCCGTAAAATGACATGGACCTTAAGAATTTTCCCTAGATTAAACATGTTATTTCCTCCTTAAAAATGTGATCTGATATGAAATTTTTAAGTTCTTTTGTTAGTCTGGTTGGTTTCAAAGCAAATGTAGATGTAGTGATGCACAACATACAAATACATCGAATGTAAATTCCAAAGCATTCACAAAATTAAACATTTACTCCATTTAGAATGTTACAGTCAATGAGTGGTTCACGTCATTACTCAATGTCTTGATCGAAGAATATAGACTTTTACTTGAAGATTGTGTTCACATATTAGCAGAATCTATTGAGAAGGTAAACATTAACAGAGTCATAAACTACCTGAGACGAAGATGAGCCATCGGAACTAGTGGAGAACGGTAATCCGCCGATGAATATCATACGGAATAGGGGGGGGCTGACCGGAGAGGATTTGGGAAAGGCCGCGCGATTGGGGAAGACTCTCCACGGCCACAGGCCCAAACTCTTGTTTCCGAGTATCTATATACCTGGATACAATATTCATTTTTTATTAGTAGAAAACTCATTTCCAGAGTAGTAGAATACTCTTCAGTTTAATAATTGAATAATCATTTTTGAATATATTCAGTTTTTAGAAAAATGAGTATCAGTTACTTAAAAACAAATATTCAGTTAATCAATAATATATATTTAACTTCTTATAAATAAGTACTCGCGGCAAATGCATGGAAAATACGTTACAGCCAGTTTTATAGCATATGGTTCTACTGTATACAATTGTGCTTATTTTCAATCTAACAAACAGAATTGAAAACTATGGAATTATGGATCCCTTTTGGCTCAAAAAAGTGTTTTTTGTTAGACTTTATACCTACATCCCCATCATCCTCACTCTTAAGTGTCACGTCAATTTTTTTCGTTTCCTCTTTTATCTCCTTTTTAATATCTCCTCCTTCCATAAACATTCTTCCCATTTTCCCTCTTGGTTTGCCCAAAAATATTCTTCTCATATTACACATATGCCATTCCCAAATATTCTAAGAATTAGAGATGTAATTTGATAAAGGACACAATTTTGGGTGTGAGAATTGTGTGAATTAATTAGAAAAACATAACTAAGCTATTGAGTGCGAAGTAAATATGTTATGTCAACAAATTAAAACTCTTAATTACGTATAAAAATCATTATCAAAAAAGACTTTTTGTAAAGATAATTTAGACAAAACATTTTACGACCAAAAACAAAACTCTCATATTTTAGAGGAACTAAAAACAAATATAACCCATTATCCAATGAAATCCACCAAGAGGTATTAGAATGTCATCCTTCAGAATTCAGGTTCCAACCTCAATTTTAGATCACTAAGCAGAAAAAACAAGATCCAGAACCCAAAGTTTTTAGGAACTGCAAAATCTTCTTTGAATTCTCAAGGATGATGAGTAAAACAAAAACTGATCAACACAAGTCCACCACCACCAACACAAGTTCTGTACATGATTTGTAACAGGATAAAACCATTATTAATATTGTGTTTTTTTATACAAATTATAAGGAATAATCAGAGCCACAGCTACATGTTAACCTACATTTCAAAGGTTACAAGAATCACAGAGATCAAAGTCGGCATTCAGCAACTAATAAGCATCCGATTTAAATGACACTGACACTGTAAACAGCAATGCCATTACCGAAAGAGCTTCTTCCTCAACTACAGGTCTGACTACCTAAGAACACCGTAAAATGTCACTCCACCACCATTGGGTTCCCATGCATGAAATGATGATGTTCATCTGTCACATTGAAAATCAGAGTTCAAGAACTGCAAATGTAGAGGATAACAACATGCTCATAATACTTTCTAAACAAACTTTTAGAATCAATGCCACACAGGTCACTCCTAGGTTATGCTCTTTTCTACAGAACTTGAATAGAGTGAAAGTTGAATGGCATAGTTTTGATTGCCAACTGAAAGTGAAGTTAAAACTTAAAAGTACTGAAATTTGCACAACAATAAGCACAAAGTAAAAAAAAAGAACAGACCCATATTCATTTGGATGTAAAAAGCATAGATCCCAATTAGTGCTTAGTATTGTCCAAAACAAGTCGTACACAAAAATAATAGAGGATATGACGTACTTCATAGCCTTGTTCTTTTCAACTTTTTATTCCAGTAATCCAGACTCGATTACCGATCTTCAGTTTCATTTACAAACTTTCATTAAAATTTTCTTTAGTTTAATAGTATATTTAATCGAGGTTCCAAATACTAGTCTTCAAACTGCAATATTAAACTCCAGACTCCGGCAAACTCTGGTTAAGATCAAGGTGAAATGAACAAGGCCATATCCAAGAAAAAACCCTTCTTAATTTAGAGATACATGCAATCTATGGCTTGCTTTTGTTTTCATCATAATACAATACTCTTTTGGTCTGAATTTAGTTTTCTACTCTCCTTATTTAGCACACCTTGAGTTGATCGTCCACTTACCATATTTAGTTTAAAAAATTACAAGAAATTACTCTCTAAAGAGCATATTAACATTATTGTCATCAATAGAAAACACAACTAAATTTGATACTCCTGTTATCTTACATCCCTTCCATATATTTGAAGTATTTTAGAAAGTGGACACCTAAATCCAAACTAAGGGAATCACTTATAAGGTTATGTCCATGTCAACGGCAAGCAAAACACAACTGGCTGACAGCAGAACTTCAAATGTTAGTGATCCAAAAGCCATCATAATTTGTGGCACATCCACTAATGTGATGCGCACTACATTATTCAAGGTCTTTCGGATATTCACACATCCCAAGCAGCAATGATTAGACATGTCTGCATGCCCTTTGAGACGTTGAATGTAAAGAAAAACAAATATTCCAAATTAAAAATGGAGATTGGACCCTATAGTGATAGTAGTATGACAATAAATGATGAAAAGAAGAAGCAAAAATAATTTGAATGAGTCATTGTATACCGCTTTCACCATCAGAAATATCACCAAGCCTTGAAATAGCATCAATAAGTGATTGCTCATGCTCCTGCATCAATAATCCAATAGTATAAGTACGCCAGTCAGAGATTTGTCAGGGAAACAACTATTGAGTAGGTGAAGAAGTAACCTTTAGCACTCTTTTGGCTTTCTCAACTTCAACAGGATCAGGATGTCCCGCACCAAATATCCTCTCAACCTTCAAAACATTAAAAGGCAAAATGAAATTTGAGAAAATGTACATCAGCACTCCAGCAGTGCACCTTAAATGGTGTACCACCTTACCTCCTTAACTAGTGTATCGGTGTGAAGTAAATGAATGTCATCTGATCCTCTATTTGCCACGCCATTCTGTGATGTTGGAAAATCCTTTCTATGCTGAGCTCTAGTAAATCCCCTTCCTCTGCCCACACCTGGTGGGGCACTAACACGACCAAAAGCTCTAGTTACGCCTTGTCCTCCTGGACCATTGTCCCATATAATATCCTCAGGAGAAATCTGGAAGGGAATTCAAAGACAGGTAAAAACTCCAGTCTCTGCAAAAAAGAACTATGTTGAAACTAGCAAGGAAAAAATGCAGAGAATATCTACTATTCTATTACATGCTGGAAATTTCTGAAAATTACTCTGTAAACAATCCTGATGAAGCCATAGTTAAATTCAACACAAACAATTTTATAGTATTCCAAAACAGTTTGTATAAGACAGCAAACAGCTTATCTCCTTGCACAAACAATACAAGTACTTTAAAGTGTTAGATGAGGCAATGATGAGTACCAATGTACCATACATCTTCTCATCTTAAATAGTTTATGCAATATGATACATAAGATGTGGATGTTGGATAAGAGTCGGAATGAGGTTATTCGGGGACGGCCGGACGGGTGGGAGTGACACATGTGGAGGATAAGCTACGCAAAAGGCTAGGTTGAGATGGTTTAATCATGTGACACAGCGTAGCATTGAGGTCCTAGTGCAGAGATGCAAGAGGCTTACGATAGTGGGTGGGGTGAGGGAAGGGGTAGATCTAGGAAGAGTTCAAAAAAGGTGATTAGGCAAGACTTAAGACATCTAGCCCTTACAGAGCACATGACCTTTGATAGGAGTGTGTGGAGATCTAGGACTACGGTAGTTGGGTGGGTGGTAGTTTTACTAGGCTTGGGTAAGCGGTCCCTTATAACATGTGGTTTTCCATATTTACTCCCTAATTCTAAGATATTACATTTGTGGTCTCAATTTTTGAAAACTATTCCATAATTAGTCCTTTTGGCCAAATATGACCAAATGTTTTTTTCACATAATCCCCAAAGGACTGATTATGGAATAGTTTTTAAAAAATTGAGGGCCACAAATGTAATACTACCTCCATCCCACTCTCTTTGTCCACTTTTGACTTTTGGAACTGTTAATCTAAGCACTTTGACTCATCAAATTCTCTCAATGTGTAAGCCTAAATATAGTCATGTGTGATCTTGTTTGATTTGTCTTAACATATAGATTATTAATATATAATTTCTATAAATTTTTAATATACAAATTACAAGATAAAATGGATTAAAGAAGTGCATTGGATGGTGTGCCAAAAGGTAAGTGGACAAAGAGAGTGGGACGGAGGGAGTATTTTAGAATTGGGGACTAAATATGAAAAACCACTTGTTATAAGCCATTTATGGAATTCACTCTTGTTTCTTTGTCGTGTTATGTGCTTTGACTGCTTTCTATATTGCTCGTTGGGGATCTCTTGAAAACAACCTCTCTACTTTCTAATCCCCAAAGGACTGATTATAGAATATTTTGTTACAAATTGGGGGCAACACATGTAATATTTTAGAATTGGGGACTAAATATGGAAAACCACTTGTTATAAGCCATTTATGGAATTCACTCTTGTTTTTTCTGTTGTGCTATGTGCTTTCTATATTGCTCGCTGGGGATCTCTTGAAAACAACCTCTCTACTTTCAAGTAGGAGTAAGGTCTACATACACACACCCTCCTCGGACCCTACTTTTGTGGGATTCTATCGGGTTGTTGTAAACTGACCTAAGATATTTAACTTCAAACTACTCTAGCTACTACACATGATAGAAACTTTGAATTGTATGGAGAATTTACAAAACAGCCTGTATGGCTTGGAAACCAATACTCAAAATATTACGCAAATGTTACAAGAAATCAAATATATAAATTAAATGTGCTGTGAGGAGAAAGAAAGCTTTTTTATCTATATATACCTCTGAAAGGTTTATCCATTCCCAAGTCTCATTTGGAGTGTCATTGTCATAAACAAGACTATAGAGTCCCTAATATAATACATGAAAACATATTAGAATATAGGTCTTAAAAAGAAACGATTTCACTACAAAGCACACAATTACTGCATTGATCAAGTAATTAGCTTTCATGAAGCAGCAAAAATTAAGGCATACATTCACTGCATCATAATCCGTTATGATAGCATCATAGAAATTATTGTCCTCGGGCCATCTGGTTCTTAGTTTCCTTCCAATCAATGAAGCTCCATCAGTTGGCCTAGCAATCATATTACCAGATTGATCTCTTCCAGAAAGGCCAGAGGGAGGATATTGACCCTTAGTTGCACCAGAGGGTAATGGACCCTGTGGGAAAGAGGTAAATGGCAATAAATACTCAGAACACAAAAGTAAAGAATATAAATTTCGAAGGTCCTAAGAACTCACAGATTTTTGTTTTTTCCCTTTGGGACCCACCACAGACCCTCTCTTAGCAACTGATGATGGTTGATTAGATGTATTTAATGCTGCTGGGTGAAAACTAGGTGATGGTCCACCAAAAGAATGAGATGGTAATGACGGTGCCACTTTTTGTTTCTTCCGAGAAGCAGAGACAGAAGGGCTGGGGATCAAATCGTGAATAGCTTGCCCATAACTATGAATGCCGGATTGAGGACCTGTACTAAGTATTCCTTGTTGGTTCCCACCATATTGTCTCCACTCCCTGATGAAAAAGAAATCATCACCGAGTGGCAAGCACTAGCATGAAATGATGCCAATTAAAGCAATATTGCAAACCTTATTCTTTGGATGACCTCATCAGAATTTACTCTGCCAAGAAGTTCCCTGTGTTCTTCATTTGACAATTTCAACTCCTTTCTAAGTTCAGTTATCAAACCTTCCTTCTCCTGAAGAAAACACATCTCTTAGAGCAATTGCTTAATCTTGACTAAAAACATATACATATATTAGATTCAAATGATCAAAAGGATGTTAGAGTACCCAAGTAATAGCATCAGCTTGAGCTTTAAAGGCTCTTAAAACTGAACTGTATGCTTCTTGCTCCAGCTGGCGAATTAGAGTCTCCATATCAGTTTCTCCATGCATCCTTGGATAAGGGATAGAACCTACTGCTGTTGATCTACCATTACTGGCAATGCGACCACCTCTATTTTGATGTGTTGGAGGAAGATCGTCATCTGTCCCTGCAATGAAGCAAGCCAGCATAAATTGAGCATGAATGCAAACCATTCAAACCTGATTACACGCCAGCAAAGTAGGATTGGCATGCATTATATTCGAAATATCATTTATTTTTAAGCTAAATATACAAAACTATCATTAGTAATGGAATCCACAATCCCTAACTTGCATTACTCAATCCAAGCTTCTGAACCTACAAAAAATTAAAGAAAAGTGAAGTAATCCAACACTAATGGCATGTTTGATTCAATGGAGGGGTAGGATGAAGTTTTGTTTGTTTTGCTGTGTTTGGTTTTGTTATAGGGTAGCGAGAGGCTTTTATCGATCTTTTGCCTCCCCTCTACAAAAAAATCAATTCGAAGGAACTCAAGAAAGATAAAAATACGTGGATGGAGAACTAAGCACTTTATTTCCCCTCCCCTCTTCTCATAACTCCATACCACACACACACACACACACACAGAGTATGGGAAAAGTCGCCTAAAACAAGCAACATCCTCTTGGACTCGCAAATAAGTCCAACACTTCATTCGCATCTTACTTTTTTATGAAGTCTAGGGAAGAAAAATGGAGTAATACATAATACCTGAGGAAAAGAGCTTCTCAGTTTCTTAGAAATGTAAGGTCGTGTTCACTTTAACCCCAACAAAATTGGAATTTCTTGGGTTTGTGGTTGTTGTTGTTAATTCAACACTAGTTAAAATATAAAAATGATAAATGTAGCAAAGCTTAAATAATTTCCAAATAAAATAGGAACTCATGAAATAAAAGCTTCACATTCCCATTGTTGTACACTTGTACGAATGTGTAAAGGCTTGAAACCTAAATACACATATGCATTTTTCCAATAAAAACAAATATGAGGTTTAGAATAAAGGTATCTTGCTGGTTGGTCCCTCCTACAATTAAAATTTTACTTTAAGAGCATTAATGAAATGAAACTATCTGCATCCACTTACCTCCAGACCTACCACGTGTGGGATTTGATACAAAACAAGTAAAGTGTTTCCCATCTATTGTCTAAAGTCTCTCCTCTCTCTTATAATTCTTTTCTGGAGGTTCTGCCCTAATATAGCTGTAAAATTCATAACAATTTGGTGCTCTCATTAAGAGATGACATCTGAAGGAATGGTCACCCACAACTACCAAGCTCTCAAGGAGCAACTCCATCAACTTCAAGCGGAACACGCAGAAACCAAGGAATGGCCGCACATATTCAACAACTCACTACGAGCAACAATCAGGTTTCCTCCGCCAACCACCCTGAACTCTGCCTTCAACTGAAATTGCCCCGTTGTGAGCTTGCTACCTTTGACAGAAGCAATCTGCTTTTTGGCAATTGGTGGAAAAATATTTTTTGTTTTTGGGACATCCCGGAGGAACAAAGGATTGATTGAGCTAGCTTCTCCATGGTTGGCCCAGCGTTTTCATCGTACAAGTGGATGCACCGGTACCAACAACTCTTTTCTTGGGGGCATTTGCTAATGCGCTAGAGCAACGCTTTGGCCCGTCCATGTGAACCATCGAGCAACATTGTTCAAGCTCTCCCAACACAAATCGGTCACCACGCATCAAGAAGAATTTGAAATGGTGTGCAATCGGGTGAATGATTTCTCACCGCAAGCCATCTTGGACTGTTTTAATAGAAGATAAGCAACAAGCTACAAAGAATCATCCTAGCAACGGGCCTTTCTCGACTCCTTTGAACGTTAACACCAAACTACCACTACTTCTATCTCCAACCAAAAACATTTTCCCCACCCGCCGTAGCCTACTACCGATTAAGAAACTTACAGTTGACGAGATGCAATCCCGATGAGAAAAAGGGTTGAGATACAATTGTGACAAACACTACTGTTGATGAGCACGCTGCTTGGGAGATACAATCCCGATCAACATAATGTTGTGTGGTAACGCTCGACAATCATAAAAATAACAGAACTATTGATGAGCACACTGCTTGGGACGACACTTTGGCTATCTCTCTACTTGCATTTGAAGCTATTTCCGACCCTCAAACATTTTGCCTCACCACCAGGCACCACCGTCCAAGGGAAGCAACCAAGTTCATCAAACTAAAATCACTATACAGCCTATACCCCCAAGCTCGGCATGTCAAGTTCTGGTTGAGTACACTCTGGAAATAGATGCTGACAAACAAAAAGGAACTAGAGCAACTTAAAAGATCTGCATTTTGACTTAATTGGCAAATCCTTTTCAACAAACGAGAAAACTGCAATGAAAAAGATAACGAACAAAACCCAAACCTCACAGCAAGGAGAAACAACAAAAGATAAAACAGAGCAAGGCTAAAGCTTTCACCTTTTTTCACAGAGTATATCCAAGTTCTAGACTTGAAGACCTAACCAAGTTCACCGAACTAAATTAAAACTTATTATGCTAATGCCAATTCACAAACCCTAGTGCTCTGCAAGAATCCAACCCCAACCTTACACTAAAACTCATAACATCATTACCGTAATGAATACTCACCACTGCTATCGTACGCATCGTATTCCATGTAGAGCTAGCGATTAAAGCATGAAGATTTTGCGACCAACTCAATAAATACAACGAAACACTGAAACTTCCAAAATCGAACTCCGATTATGAGACAACGGCCTATGGGCAGATGCTGCAGAGCGTGATTTAACAGAGGGGATTGAGCGATTGAAGGTTTAGACGGAGTGCGAATCGATTGTGCGGCACGGCGAGAGAAAAGATCGACGGGCAAAGCATGAATCGGGGAATCGGACGTGAAAATAATTCTGAAATGATTTGATTAATGGAGGAGTTTGAAATCCGCGTTGGTTTTTTGCTTCTTCCAACCAGTCGAGTTGACCCGGTACGGTTTTGGCTTTTGACCCTACCTAGCCCGAGCTAAGGGCATAAGCAACAATTTACATGGGAGAAATTAAAAGCCTTGAACCAATAAAAAAAACAAATGATTGGAGTGGCATTTCCTCCATCCCTCCAGTGAAATATCGTTGTTTTTACTATCATTTTTTATATTTTTTGATCTATTTTAATTAGTAAAAAAAAGTTATTTGATATATTTATTTTATCATAAAAATATTTCTAGTAAAAAAATCCTTCATTCTGAAACGAAAAGGAAAAAAACCCAAAAAAAAAAAAAGAAAAGAAAATTGCCGCACAAAATCCATTGCATGCAAACGGAGTTTGTGCATGCCCATTTATTTCCCAGGATATATATCTGCATACGTTGATTTCTTCTTATCTCCCAATGTGTTTTCTTCCACTTTCTCCGATTTGATCTCTTGGTTGATTTCATTCGGTTCCATTTTGTTCAGATGTGTTGAGTGTTACTTCAAAGTCCCACATCGGTGGGATATGAAAATTGAAGAGGGATTGAGCCTATAAATAGAGAGGGGGTATAGGCTTCCAACACACAACACAATCCTTCAATCTATATAATTGTGTATTAGATTTTAGGTTGTAAGTGTCAAATATTAGAGAGGGTTTTTAATTTTTCCGTGCAAAAATTACTAGTGAGATTTTATCCCAGATGGGGTCGTGGAGTAGGTCTTGAGGTGCCGAACTACGTTAAATATTTTGTGTGCTCTTTTTCTTTTCTTTCCATTTGTTTGCAGTAGGGGGCCTAACAAGTGGTATCGGAGCCAAGGTGCAGAGTCCGGGTGATCTGGTAATTATAATTCTTAGTATGCTCTGTGGTTGCAGCTTTGACTGATCTTCCACATCAGAAAAGAATTATTAATTACAGAGTTGCAGTTTAGGGAGGAAGGAGATAGAGCAAGGAGCAAGAGGAGGGAGTGCCACTTCAGCGGAGGAGGTGGTGGTCCAGTCAGCAGAGGTGGGTCCGAGTGCCACGTCATCATCTAGTCAGTGCCATGTCAGTAGGTCCAGTCATCAGTGGGTCTCATCGCCACGTCAGTTGGTCCAATCATTGTGTGGGTCCCGTTGGTGATTTTCGGAGAGAAGTTGGTTCTGACTAATTTTGACGTCCTGATTCCATTTTTGAGGCCAGTTTCCTCAAATTTGGATTGTTTGGTATTGGTTGATTGCTACTTGAGTGGAACTATGACTACCTTGAAATTTGAAGTTCAAATATTTTATGGAAGAGCGGACTTCATGTTGTGGCAATGCACGATTCAAGACTATTTGGTCCAGCAAGGTCTTGAATTAGCATTGCAAGATGAGAAGCCAAGTGATATGAAAGAATCAGAGTGGAGTACAATCCAGAAGAAGGCTGTCAGCACAATTCGGTTGGCACTGTCCCCACAGATTAAAGTGACAGTGCTGAAAGAGACATCACCAAAGAAGCTGTGGGAAACGTTGGAGAGCAAGTTTGCGTCGAAGACACTTACTAACCGGTTGATGATGAGGATGGACTTGTACTCACTGAAGATGGAAGAGGGAGGTAGNTTAGCATTGCAAGATGAGAAGCCAAGTGATATGAAAGAATCAGAGTGGAGTACAATCCAGAAGAAGGCTGTCAGCACAATTCGGTTGGCACTGTCCCCACAGATTAAAGTGACAGTGCTGAAAGAGACATCACCAAAGAAGCTGTGGGAAACGTTGGAGAGCAAGTTTGCGTCGAAGACACTTACTAACCGGTTGATGATGAGGATGGACTTGTACTCACTGAAGATGGAAGAGGGAGGTAGTGTAATTGATCACATCAACAAGTTTAATGAGCAAGTATCAAGGCTGTTAAATGCAGGGGAGACTATCAAGGATGAAGAGCAAGGGCTGCTTCTACTGGCTTCACTACCAAAATCCTTTAAGCTGTTTGTGCAGTCAATGATAGCAGGAAGGACTACACTGCGACTAGATGAAGTGACGACTGCCTTGATGGAGAGTCAAAGGATGATGGGAGGTGAAAAGTCTTCCGGGGACAGTCATTTACTAGCTGCTGTGAGTGTTGAGAAATGGAGGAAGAAGAAGAGTGACCAACTTGAGAGAAGATCTCAGCTGAGAGACATGAGCACTGTTAGGTGCTATTACTGTGAAAAGTTGGGTCATACGAAGAACGGTTGTCCAGAACTCAAGGAGGACTTGCAGATCCTAAAGGAGAAGAAGGGCAAATTGAAGGAAGCTTCTTTCGCAAATGTGATCACTTATGAAGATGATCTCTTCTGAAGATAAGAGTACTGCTGGACAGAAGATTCTGCAGGATGGGAGAATCGCTGCAGAAATCGCAAATGATGTAGGACTTTGAATTAAGGGGAGATTTGTTGAGTGTTACTTCAAAGTCCCACATCGGTGGGATATGAAAATTGAGGAGGGATTGGAGCCTATAAATAGAGAGGGGTATAGGCTTCCAACACACAACACAATCCTTCAATCTATATAATTGTGTATTAGATTTTAGGTTGTGAGTGTTAAATATTAGAGAGGGTTTGTAATTTTTCCGTGCAAAAATTACTAGTGAGATTTTATCCCAGATAGGGTCGTGGAGTAGGTCTTGAGGTGCCGAACCACGTTAAATATTTTGTGTGCTCTTTTTCTTTTCTTTCCATTTGTTTGCAGTAGGGGGCCTAACAAGATGTTGTTACATCCTTTTGGTGCATGTGTTCGTTGAGCTCCCGGAGGTCACAAAAGTTTTCCTCGTGTTCTATTGTTGTTCTACATAGTTGGTTATCTCACCGTTCTTCTTTGGTCGCCCTTTCTTTGTTACGGGACTATTATTATTATTATGGTAAGGAACTATTTATAATTAGTTAACTATTACTCCGTATTAGGGAATAATATATTTGTTAGATGATTACTTAGTTTCCTAGTCTATTTAGTTACCTTTTATAATTAGGATTTTTAATTTATTTAGTTACCATTTATTATTTAGATTCTCTAGAGTTGGAGCCTATAAATGTATCCATCACAATAGCATTATCAATGAATGAATAAAGAAAATGCTTTCTCCTGAACCTTAATCTCTATCTTTCTCGTCTCTTTTGTTCTTGGAGCTCGAAGGTGCTCGAAATCCTTTCCTATCTTGATATGATACCGTATCAATTGGTACTTTCATTCTTAAACTCACAAAAAAATCCTATGAAGCTTTCTAGGGTCCCAAGTTGATCGCCCATGTAACACCCTAATCCGTCCAGGTCTGCAGCCCCATTTGGACTAAAGTATTTAACTTGGTAATCGCAAATTTTAAAACTTTTCAAACACACTTTATTAATCTCAATAATAATTTTCATAACATATACAGTACGGAGTATTTAACAATATTGCGGAAGCAAATTTAATATTGACATATCATAAATTATTTCAAAACTTTGTCACATCCATCCTGACAATCTCGCCCCATCTGCCGCCAGAATCACATTAATCTTTCTGTTTACCTGCGTGTAGCAAATAAAACATACTACACGCTCAGCGTTGAAGCTGAGTAAGCATATCTAATGCATCGAACATCCATATAAATTGAATCTCAATTCATAATTAACCATTTGATATCATGCACACAATACATATTTCAAGCATACATTATTCATGATATTCACAATATTTTATTTTAAGTCATTTCATGATATATTCAATATTCAATATTTCATCAGTGCTCTTAAATTATTCTTAATCTAAGGCCAAATCATTTTTATACAAGCTCTTAGCTACTCCTAGTCTAAGGCAGTAATTCTAACCAGGCCCTTAAACTATAAATAGTTTAATGCAGAA